CCAGTAAATAATCTTTTACACGGGCAATAACATAGCGCATTAACTTCTTTCGATACCTCGATTTAAAAGTTTGGATCATTCCAGCATCAAGAGGTTGCAAACGAGATGTGGTATTCTTTGGTAGAAATACGATTTTTATGTTGCTTAACTTGTCAACTAATGACAATGGATGGACAGTGGCGTTATCCAAAAACAAAACTTTTCTCTTTTGTCATTTGACGGTTTAGAGTTTCCAGGACATTTTCCATGATTTCCACTTGCATCCAAGACTTCTTGTTTGCAAATACATGACCTTACAAGCTTATCGGCTGCACCAGCTCGTTTAAAACATCTTGGTGATTTACTCTTCCCAATTACAACGGGTTTTCCAACTTTTTCTCCACCCGCACTGACGAAAAACGCTTAGACTCTGCTTAGACTTTTTTCCGCCGTTGCTTTTCTTTCCCTTCTGAGGAAAACCTTTGGTAGGCAGGGCTTTTTAAAAACACCCACTTTCGTCCATATTCATTATATCTTTATCCTCGTATCCTTTGCAGAATTCTTGTACTCGTTCCATCCAAGATTCAATTATAGTCGTCGAGAGACTCACCAGGGATTTGCTTTTCCTTTATAACATGACTCAATTTCCATTTATCAAGCCAGCCTTTTGATGCCTTGAAACCATCCAGTTCTGGACGATTCAAAGATTGTTTGATATTCACTGCTTCCTCTCTGAGTATAGGCCCAATAACATAGATACCAGATGACTGACATTTTTTAAACCAAGAGTAAAGAATTTCATTGATTGCTTTGAACTTTTGATGGCTTGCTCTGTTTACATGTTTGAAACCCTTGCCTTGAAAGCTTTCATACTCTGCTCTCACTTTTTTCTCGCCTTTCGAAATGTGCTTGTGTCTTTCCAATATTGCATGCTTTAGAAATCTCTTTGCAATTCATTTTTTCCATCTAAAATTTTTATTTTTTCATCTAATGTCAGGCAGCGTTTGTTAAGAGTTTCCCGGCCTCACGTTTCTTCACGTCAACAGCAGCCATGACGATAACAGTTCTGCTTAGACCATCAATTAAGAAAATGTTTTTTAAAAATGATCAGTCTTTTTCAAAACATAAACGCATTGTGAAATATTAAAACATTCGAATCAACGTCATTTAGTTAAAACATTGTATTATGTAAAAAGATCGATTACCATGGGCTGGGGGTGTGACACAGTCAATTTGTGCAAGTGTCCTTTAATTTCCTTTCGTTTTTCTTTTTTAAATGTACCTTCTGTTCAAAATATTGATTCCGGCCCTCCACTTCTATTAGGCTCTGCGGTCCCTGTACTTCCTATGAGCGGAAATCGTTTTAAGTTTTCTTTACGGTTTTTGACAACCTCCTCGTTGTGATGCTCAACAATCTTTTCTTTGAAATATTATTCCTTAAATGATTCGATCATTCACATTAGAAATAATTTTCTTTGAGAAAGGAACTTGATTTATAGTAATAACTATTTTCATTTGGAGATATGGCAATTTGATTATGTACGAGGTCGAGATACCCATCTGTTTAGAAAAGAACTGGAATTTGTATCAGTACAAGTCTTTTGCAAGATGATGTCATGCCTATATGAACATCTGGAGTCCGTTGGTGGGGGAAATTTTACAATGCAGGCATGAGCCATCTAATGAGGTGCACGAAAATGCAATAGCCATCATTAGAACTGATTCTTTGCGAAAAGAAAGCATTGTTGGACACGTGCCACAAAACATTTCAAAAATTCGCATATCATTCTTGAAGTGCCAAACACTTATATAACAGCTGAATTTATTAGAAAGAGGTTGAATTGTGGAGGTGTCTATGTTCTAGAGATTCCAGTATTTTACCACTTCCATGGACACGAGAAATTGGTAAACTGGGTGTAAAGAAGATCGAAGCTATACAAAGCCAACTAGATTGCCAAGTGTCTAAGTGCTTGAAAAAAATATTTGAACAAATATTCATTGGTCTCAGTTTTTTGTTCGCTGGCTCCTAACTTTCTGTACTGTCCGCTAATTGGAAAGTAAAAATGCCTAGAGTGTCCGCTAATTAAGTGTCCGCTTTTTAGAAAGTTTTTTATGAGACCTTGATCAGAAAACGATCGGGGAAAAAGATTGTCCGCTAATCAGAGGTGTCCGCCTTTTTGAGTGTCTGTTAATTGGAGAGAAGACTGTATTTTTGGGCAAAAATTCAATGATGTTGGAGAGTTTGGATTTTGGTTCATGCGGATGACATGATGCATTGTCCACAAACAACAAAATTGAGCGATTTTGCAAAATCATCATGTTGTTCAGTCTACCGAGAACTATTTCCATTAGCTCAGATGTCATTCAAGCATTGGCATTGCTGTAATAATGGGCTCCACATGGCCTACTTGGCTGTCGAAGATTTCTGAAGCACCGAGGCTTCTTTCTCTTTCCAATGATTATTGGATTAAGCTTTTCACCGAGAGCGCTAACGATAAAAAAAGCTGTCAAGCGTTGCTTGGCCCTTTTCCCGCCTTAGCAACGAGTGCTCTTTTGGTTAAGTGATTTGTCAGTTAGCTCTCTCCAGTAAAAACCCAGTTTCGTCACAATTAAAGACCTCCTTTAATTCAAATCCTGCCAGAACTTCCGGTCGCTCGCTCCAGCTCCCCACCAGTTCATCTCTGACATCACCACTCTCGCCAGCCACGGAAAACTAACTAATGTTGTACCTTAACTTCCACTTATTAAGCCATCCATTTGAAGCTGCAGCTGTCTCGGATCATTGGTCCGCTGATAGGCAAATTTGCCTCTCTTGCCATGCAAAACCATTTCCAAACGCTATCATTTATTTTTCGTAAGTCATTGGTCGCCCATAGTGCTTTCTTCCTGTGTTTTCATTTGCAGCCCACTGTCTGAAATAATCTGCTTTTTTCTTTCAAATGCAGTTCACTGCGATTTTCCCTATTCCACAGTGGACAGCTATCCCATGGCTTCCTATTGAGTTGTCTCTTCTCGGCAAACTTGACCAGGTCGATTTTTTCACGTAGAGTTAGACACTTTTACGGAGGGATGTTGTCTTTGCTTAGTGCCATGCAGGTTCCTTTTTTTCAAAATTCAACAACAGTTTCGAGATTTTTTGTAGCTTTTGAATGTCGTGAACGTTTGCCGAAGAAACTCTTTGAAGTCTAGATTTGAAATATATGCTGTTATAATAGCTTGCCAATTTACTTCGACAAACACGTTGGATTTTTTGTGTCTTCTGTCAGTGAAATGCTTTTTGTAATTCGATACATTCTATTGCGCTATTGTCTTGGATTCAATATTGTCAAGGACATTGAAGCTGTGGCGGTGAAGAAAAAGTCAAATTTAGATGTTCTCGGGCACATACCTAAATACTTTAACAAATTTGTGGTTCTATTTCTGAGACGATCGACTAACTCAGCTTTAACAAAAATAACTGGAAAGCCAGTTTATAGAGGAGCAGGCTTTGGGATGGAATTGCCATGTCATTATGAATTTAGAGGAGATTCCTTCAGCAGAAACTGGGTACGCATGAAGATTGAAGGAAAGAAAAAATGCATCGATGAGGCATGTAAAGAAGACAGGAGACAAAAGAGAAAATTGAAGTAGTGTGGGTCTGTGTGTTTTTCATTTCACAACGTACAAAAATTGGGAATTATTTTGTTTTGAATTTGATTTTAATTACCTTCTTACAGAAGTACTTCGTACAAAAAATCTTAGCGCGCGTTCCTGTATCCTTTCAACTTTCTGAAGTGATTTTGAAGATGAAAAATACCAAACTAAAGGACAATAGTTAAAATTCGAGTACACGAAACTTTGAACCAGAACTTCTTTTTCAGCGAAACCAATAAATGACTTGAATTAGACTTAATATTTTCAATTGTAATGCGCCTATGTGCCCTGTGGATATATGGCGCAATATAAGTGTTTTTATTATTATTTTTATTATTATTAATTTACAAAAGGGGTGGCACCATGATTGCTGTGAAAGGGGAAAAATTTTTATAACCTTAATGCTTTAAGTTCGCCGGAAATTTCATTCTTTCGAGCAAATTCTAATAAAAAAATCTTATTCTTAAAGTTTAAGCGGTGGTTTTGATCGACTTTCTTGTTCTCGTTTTTAAATTTTTTTTACCCCATACAACATGACTGCATAAATTTGAAAATCTGAGACAAAATCTTCAAATCTTGCTATAGGCACAAAATTGGTACTGTCCCGGTCTTAAATGCCAAATAAAAATACAATTTATGACCAATATTGACCAATTTCCATAACAAAATTTGGCCCTTGAAGATTTGGATTTTAACTGAAAAAAACCCAAGCAGCAAATCACTCTTTGGTAGAAAGCAGTAAATCCTGAGATGTCATTTTGTTTTTGTTGAAATGACAGTATTTTCTTACAAAAGTGAATTGTCCTTCAACAATACGGACATTACTTCGGTGCAAGTAATTTATATTGCTAAAAGGCTCGTTCCACTTCTCCTTTTTACCAACAGGTCAAGTTTGAAAATTTTCCGACACAACAATGATTTTTCTAAAAACCCGTCATATATTGAACACATGGGGGAACAACCCACTGCCGCCGGCCAACACGCCCTTGCATCTACATAAAGATAAAAAAGGAAATAGTTTTCATCGTTTGGTAATAATTTTCATAGGCAAGCCATACTGAATGGCAACCTTCACAGTCATGTGCTTGCATTTCTGAATTGTCTAGTTTGATCTAGGTATGTACATTTTCTTGGCTAGGGTTTTGGTCAATAGTTTCAATGTTTTGTACCATGAAGAGTTTCAGATGAAAGGTCGTGTTTTTCAAAATATTTTTGTTTTACATAGAAATGACCAAATTCATGAATTAGTATTCATTTTGCCAATTGGTTTGATGCATCATTGCCAAAACACATCACAATACAAATAATGTCTTGAAAAATACAAACTCTTCTCAAAGTTTCGTAAAAAACGATAGTCATCAAATGTTAATCAAGTATGTAAAACTTACAGGTCCAAGTATCATTGCTTGCCATCTAAAAGCTAAAAAGGAGATGAAAATATATTTAAAAAATATATTCAAAAGCAGATCAAAACCGAATCGATGAAAAGTATTAATGCAGGACAAAGGATAACCTCTATGAAAGAAAGCAAAATAATGTAAATTACGATCTTTATCTGACAATGGCCCTGCTGAGCATTGAGCTGGAGGATCACGACCAAGTTCTTGAAGCTCCTGAAAAAAAGAAAAGACTTATTTTCATGTTCAATAGCTATATAAGCTGTGCATTCTCTATTTTCAGGTTGCTAGAAGTTACAGATTTGTGAAAAGGAGGAGTATTTAGCTTAGGAGTTTAGAAGCTTTTGCTTTTGCTGAGCTTCAGAAGTCTTTGGCTTTCTTGAACTTCTAAATTACTTGAAAATCAGTTATGCGAGTTAGTTAAAAATCACAATCAATTTCCTACAATTAAGATGGCGCTTCATTTATGGTTATATATTGATTTGTAGCTAATTTCCTTTTATTTATTTTACCAAACCACACATTATGTCTGATGGAAACAAGGGGAAACAGGTAAATATCTTAGGTATGTCAGTTAAGAGGTAAGGGGTCTGGGGGTACCCTCCTCAGAAAACCTTTTAAGGACGATCACGGTAGAATAGCCCTGGAATCATTTCATATCTCAACATTATGATTTCATACTTCAAAATGCTTATGAGACCCTATGCTAAATTAGAATTTGTGGTCAAAATTGTGTGACATGCCTGAAACAAAGCACTTTTGCAAAAAGGCTGTGCAGACAGAGAGAGCCATTTTTAGCGACATTTTATATAGTCTGTCAAAACTATATTCTGTGTGTGAATAAATAAAAAGCCATGACAGCAGGGTGCTTGACAGACTCTGGTGGAATTTTCGTGGTGAGAATTCAAAAATATAATAAATACGAAACACCTTAACCTGCCGAGATTGAAAAACAACAAACACATGTGAATCAGTTATGGCTAATAATTTGCCCTGGCATGCGGGGCTTTTTGCTCTGATAATTGATTATTTTTAACTCAGGCAGGCGATATCTGTCTATCTTTTCATGGATCTTGAATAACAAGGCTGGCCATAAACCCATGTAAACAGACGACATAACAATGCAGGTTATTGTTTTGATGAATCTTGCCAAATGTATGTGCTTCCAAATAGGTTAGAAAACTTTTTGGAAAGTTTACTCTAACTATGCTCGAATGCAACATTGAATTGTATTCCCCAAGCTAATTTTATCTATCTTTAGAGCTATTGATATCTTCTCTGAACCAGATTGTTCATTAAATCTCAGAAGAAATAATCCCAGTATCTTGAAAAAGGGGCGTTTTCTGGCGTTCTAGTGGGCATGGCCTCAAAAAAATTTCTGTCAAGCCCTTTTCAGCCCTCCTACCTTTAAACTGGTGCACGGTCCTTGGCCTTTGCTAGCTGTATGCATTCAAATCATGGCGAAATTGAAGAATGCGGTTAGGATAAACCTGATATGATTCACTGAATTTGATGTATCTATGAATCACAGGTTGCCTAGGGCCAGGGTATGCTCTACTTAGAATATGACATCTAGCAAAACTTGATACCTATCTGCATTCTTCATGTCTGTCCAAAACTGAATAGCGCTAACAGATTGCACACTGTGTCAATGTACATGAATGCATTTCTATTTGCTCTTGCACACACAAGATCATGTTGAGTTTTAGACTGGCCAAATAAACATTTGCTTGATTTTGAGAAATTTCTTGTGGAAAGCCTAATTCATTGTAGGTCTTGACATCATTTTAAATAGTTGCAAATAAGTTTGGGCTTAAATATGTGGGTTATAACCTAAACAAAGCTGTAAGAATAGTGAACTTTGATAAAAATATATGGCATTGACGAGTTATGCTCTCTAATTTGCTAAACCCATGTACAATATAATTGCAGAGTCCCCAATGGCATTTTTTGTGAACTTATTCAAAAAATGACTTCAAGATACAGTTACCACACAAACTGAAATACCACGGCTGAAAATAAAAAATGGTTAAAAACGTCCCCCACGGTTAAAAAAAATCTCAAAAAGTGATATATTATATTCAATGGTGTAAAATTGATGTTTATATCAGGAAGAGTAAAACTTTGAAAAATAATTGATTTATGCCAATGGCTAGATTTTTCTTTTCAATCCATCTTCTAAAACTCTAAGTCTAAATGTCAATCTGAACGGCTAACATAACCAGCAACTGTTCTTCACACCTCTATTTATAATCCTAACAAAAATATTTAACAAGGTAAAGTGTTGTCTTTCTCAATCACCACCTTTCCTAAATGAAAACATGGCTGCAAGAGCTTTCACAAGTCTATTGGGTGATAGGGTTAGAAGCCTTTGATTTTTGGCTTTCATGTCTTAGACCTCTGAATCTCTCTCCAAATCTTCTTGAATGTAACTTACTACAGGTATACATTCATGTATACTTACTACATGTATGCATGTAATACCAGAAAAGCATTGCATACAATGTAATCTAAATGGACTAATGACTGCACAATATCATGCAATCCTAATGAGGGGTAATCCTACAACAATAGAATTGGATGCTTACGCAAAGACAGGGCATTCGAGACACAAGGGGGATTTCCTAAGAATCTATTTAATAGCAAAATACCTATGTATAAAAAATGATAACAATCACAATGCATTAGGCTGGTATTATTTTAGCTGTATTACAACGGAGTAAAAATATGAAATGAGATCCACTAGAACTTTGATTTACATCAAATAAACTATTGTTTCAAAAACATCTTCTCAACAACTGTTTTTCAGGGAGTCGGGAGCCATGCCCCTCTACTTTTTTGCAAAACAATAGAGCCTGTTTCTAAAATTTTTTGTTGTGGGTACTAAATTTTTCCTTGCCCCCCCCACTTGTCAACCTGTGTCTGATATAATTACCCTAAAGGTATTAATTTGTAATATAAAATGAATTGTATACTGCTATCATTGTGTATATTACTCAAACTCAAAAACATTTTTTCAGCAAATCAATTAATTACACGTTACGTCATTTAAGTAAGTTGTTCAAAATTCAATTATTAAATCCAAAATTACAATAAGAACATTAAAGAGAAAAAAGCAACCTTATATATAATTAAATCAGCTGACGGACACATGAAAAAAACTCAAGATAGAGCTATCAAAGCCATGTGACCGGTTGACGTGATATGACGACGAGTTGACAATTCATTTTGGTTTGAATAACAGTAAGAATGAGATAATAGAGATGCAAACGACACTAGAAAAAAGCAAAGGAAATGACTAAAGAAAATAAAACTACATTAAAGATAAAAAAATGGGAAAGTTAGGTTTCTTGTATGTGCTGGTATTTTCATCATATTCGATTAGGTAAGACTTTCATATTCGAAGGCAGTGTTTCATTTTATTTTTGAAAGATGTTTTGTTGTTGGCTTCCTTCAAATCTAGTGGCAAAGAGTTCCAGAGCTTAATACCGTCAAATGTAAGAAAATGAGGACACCTATAGATCATGAGAGGTACATTATTGCATTAGCACCTTAGTTGTTTATGATATGTTTATTTAGAGCATGATATTGTTTAGGCTTCATACCTTGTGGATACGTTTGAGTGCCATATCTTTAAAACAATAAAATCCGCTAAAGTTCCGTTAAAAAGCTTTTAGGCCTCATATATCAACTAACCGCCTCGTTTTGGGATCATCATCGTCTGCCTTCTCCGCCTACGGCAGATGGCGCATCAACATGTGACTACTGTCTCCATGAATTCCGGTCTTTGACTGCGTTGTTCAGCGACATCAGGTTTCGTCCAGTCCAAAGGCTAATGTTGTTTTGGGATAAATTTGCAAAAATGATATGCTGTAATCATCTGACGCAAAATCATTCACGCGGAAATACTGGTAAAAAGACGATCCCGTCAGTACAAGGGCCCAGTCAGTACTTGAAATTGCAAGGCGGACAAAAAATAGACCTTATTTCCAAAATAGGCATAACTTTTGGAGGTAAGCTATACTGTGCCAGCTTGCTGTATTCATTTCGGAAGTTTTAAGCTTCAAATTGTTTTGTTTAACGTGCAAGTCCACCATCGCTTTAGCATTTTCCATGGGCTCCGACAAAGGTTGAAAAGTGGGGGGGGGGGGGGGCAAGGAAAAATTTAACACCCATAACAAAAGATTTTGAAAAAAACTCTATTGTTTTGCAAAAAAGTAGGGGGGCAAAGGCTCCCCCGGCCCCCCCTTCGTCGGAGGCCCTGTTTTCCTCAATTAAATAAATGAAATTGAATTGACAAATGCAACACGTGAAGGTGGTAGGATTGAGCCTCAGCTAGAAAACCTGTCAAGTTAAAGAATTTCCAATACAGCAGATACCAACCTACATGCCAGCACTCCTTAATAGCCAAGGGGAGCTAAATTTTAAAACTCATCAAATCCTAACCTGTTTCATCCACAGCTAACCAAGAGATGTTTTTAATTGCGTCATTTAATCGTTTTACATAAAGAATGCATTTAATAAAGTTTTAAAACACATTACTTTAATTTACAATATTGATGGAGAATTTTCTAAAATTGATCTTGTAATGCTGCCATGTGAGAACATTGTTTAAGGCACTCTACCAGATGTCCTTTCAGCTTTTGATTTATAAGTCCATTCCTAATTTGTTGTGTATTATGTATCATGCCAGTGATCTGGGGTAGGTGGCAGTCCTCACATCCTTATGTCTAGGTTTTTTCATCATGTTAAGGTAACTTTTGGGCCCATGTCAACATATTGTGCATGGGCTTTCTCTTTGTTCTCAAGCTTGTTGGCCTAAAAAATTATTCTAAAAGGCCTTCAAGAAAGTAATATGTTACCTAAATTATATTTCTGTCTAGTGGAAAATACTTCAGTTCTAAAAGTGAAAATGTTCAAGTCTAAATAGTGTTACTCTAATCATCTAAATCTAAGGAAAATCTAAATTTGTTTGGAACCTAAAGAGAAATCTGAGGGCTTTTCTATCAAATGGTAAAAAAGAAATGGGCAGAGGCTGTTGTTACAAATATAAACAATGACAATTTTGTTTGGAAAAAAACTTGCTATTATCAATTCTGGCAAGAGTTTAACCATAAGCAAAAGATCAAAACTTTTTTCTTAATGCAGAAATCAAAATGAATTCCTTTTCTTATTGTCCCCTTGCTAACTCATACAAGCGATAAAAATTCCTGATACCAGCACGTAGCACCAACATATAATAAAACCTTCAGAAAGGGTAGTTTCAAAATTTCCTGATGATCTTATTAAGGGTAAAACATATAGTTGCAACTTAGTACCACCTTGTTCTATACACCAAAGTATTTAAAGCATAGCACTACATGACAGACCTGTAAAACTTAAATTTTCATTTCATGCATTCATACATAATCGTGTTGGCTGATATAAACCTGCAAACTTATTTGATCACCATAATATTACCATATACTTCATTGAATTATTGAATCATGATTTTTATTTTAAACTCATAGTTTATACATATTTATTTTGATACAAATTTGACATGAATAGTCCCTTTGTTTGAAAAGAACTGGAGGATGTGGTTTCTTGTTCTGTGGAAAGTGATAATAGAATTATCCTTTTTTGAATTAATGATTAATTGAGTCATGAAAGCCCTGCATTCTTTTATGTTTTTTAAACCTTTTTCAGGTTTGTCAAAATCTAGACCCAAGCCAGATTAGCTTGAAATTTTTTAAAGGGAAAGTGAATTGTCATATTCAGAATTAAACAAGCAAATGTTAACTGACTCGCTGGAGCTGCCACCATGGCTATAGCTGAAGAAGCAACATGCAATCAAATTTGCACAAAGGTAGGATCATTGATTCTATGGTAATAGGCCAGAAATGAACATAGAGGTTCTAAATATCCTTTTAAGCATAAATACTATTTAGCATGATACAAAAATATGTTTCTAATACAGTTGTGTTTAGCTCTCAGTAGTATCAACTTAGAAATTCAGTGGTATCAGCTATGACATAGCCTGATGAAGCTACTGGCTAGCTGTTTTAAAGAGCATTTAAACATGTTTTTTGAAACTAAATTTTTTGTCAACAATGATGCTTAGTAGTTTCTCCTAATCACTTTCTTCTATCTGGGTCTCACCATTATGTTTATTTACTCTTTCTTTCTTTGCCCCAAACTTTATGAGGTGACATTTACCTTCATTTAACTTCATATAGTTCTCTGGAAACCACACTGTTTGTAGATTTGTATCTCCCTCTAATCTTTGTGTTATATCTTAGATCTTAAAGTCGCAAGCCTATAAAGTAGTATCGTGGTAAAGAAGTAACTGTAGTAGTAGACATTTAGAGAAACATTTTAGTTGAAAATTGTGATATTTTAAGTATGGATTTTTTAAATGTTGTAATTATTGCTAGGTTTATAGAGCTTTTTTATAGGTTTTTATCTTTCTCTTTTTTTGTTACAGGACACATATTGATAACAGCATTTTTATGTTGAAATGTGCATTCTGTATATAGATTTGTTATAATAATAATAATAATATTTTTTCTTAAACCAGTTGTCATTTCATTTCGAAAAACATAACACTTACAAACCTCACTTTTACAAGGGAGTTTGTACGTGGCACACTTACATTAAAAGAATACTATGGCAAGTGCAAAAAAATCAGTTGTACAGAGCATAAATATAAGCATGATGATGTAATGATGGTGACGATGTTGATAATGCTTACGAGGATGACAAAAGTAGCGACGATGTTGATGATGGCAATGAATATTTTAGTGATGGTGGTATAGGTGGAGATAGAATACTAGATGAAAGAAGCTCTGGGTTAGGCCAAGGTTTGTTTCTACGACAGAGTATAAAGTAACTGCATCGAATTATGATCTTTGATTAACCAAAATAGATCTAAACAATCTTTTGGTGGTACAAAACTTGTAAATGGCTTTGAAAAAAGCAAACATTTAGTAAACTAAAGCTTTTCGTCTGACACTCTTCAGAGTTTAAAACGTCAGAACATAGATCGAAAACTCTACGCTAAGAAATATATATACCCAGTTGCGGATCGAAATAGGCCAATCAGAAACACGAGCCGAGCGATCGCGCCTTACCAATAATCCGAAACATGTCGCCATTATAGTTTTTTGCACAATTTGGGTTTTCTAGCAAATGTTTTGTTTCTAATATTAGATGGAACATGTTGTTTTATCCTATCCTCCATTCTTTGGGGGGTGCGTCCTACGTAGCCAGAATCACACTGGCACGTAAATTCATATACAACAGAACTTTTTTTTGTGGCAGGAACGCAATTCTTTTTGAATGGACGAAAGGACCTTTTTCGTACTATAAACAACACGTGGGTTGACCGCGAAAAAACAATTTGTTATGGCCTGTTTTATTTGGCTTTCAAAACGAAGGGAGCTGTTACCGATCCAGGGTAGTTTTAGATAGACCGGGCACTTTTGAGGACAAAATTTTACGTCAGCCGAAAAATTTCCTATCTTCTCCTTAATGTAAACTGAAATAACATCTTCTGGATAGCCGTTCTCCAGAAAAATCTTAGTTAGTTTTTCAAGTTCCGAGTCGAGTTTAGACTTGGAACAAATCATCAGTGCCCTATGTGTAAGCGTTTTGATGAGGCTGATTTTTCTTTGTTTTGGGCAAAACGAACTCCATCGAGTGTACAACCCCGAAAATGTGGGTTTACGGTATACACTAGTGAGAAATCCAGTGTCAGATTTTTCAACCAAAACATTCAGAAATGGCAAGGAGTTATTTTCTTCCTTAGATCTAGCGACAATGGGAATTTTCATTCTCAAGATCGTCCAGCATATCTGTAAAAGTAGAACATGATTGCCTAAAGATGCCAAGAAAGAGAGCTGATTTAGAGCTTAAAAAATTTAACGGACTTGTACGAACTGCTAAGAGTTTTTAAAAGAGATTTTACTTATTTTTTTGCGAAAACTTTTAACATTAAGATCTTTCTCAAAGCCAACTATAAGTTCAATGATGTGAATGATTTTCTTGAAGCAATCAGCAGCATATCAGGCAGTGGTGGGTTGGCCCACCAGCCCATCGGCCCATGGCCGGTGGGCCCCCTTTAAAATCTGGCAAAAAGGTCCCCATCTTTGCAGAAAAAGGGCCCCATTTTAGGAATGTGGGGCCTTAAGATGTTCTATTAAGAATAATAAATATCAAGGATTACATCAAAACTGAGTTTGAATAAGCGTCATAGCATGTGGTTATGAAATGAGTTGGGTCGAAGCTAAAAAAAAGGATGACTTTTTTAGGTTATGAAAGGTTAATGGACATTTGGAATTTTTAATATGATGGAATTTTCTGAAATTTTTGATTTTCATAGACACGGGTTCAGTTAATCTGCCCGGCATTAATTGTAGAGTTCACTTAATTTTGCCAGTTAGCAAAAAAGTAAAGAGTGATTCAGTAACAAACTTGGCGTTAACTTCTTCTTTTGCTCAAGCCATAGCATTAAGATAATGCGATGTGAATGATTCTTCAACGGAGGTTGCTGCATCGTATTAAAGATTCGTTTACCGAATAATCTAATTGTTTGCTTGCCCTGGAATGTTTAGTATAAACACGAACGGGTAAGGTATTGCCTCATAAAATGAAAAATTGATATAAAAAGATGTCAATAAAATGGCAAGAAGTAGGCAAATTTCACAATGGACGAATAAATTCCGAGTCTCAGAAAGGAAGGCAAAGTTTATGCAAAAAGGGGACAGGACTGATCAGTGGTTTCTTGGAATGCAAATTAAAGAAATGCAACTTCTGGTAGCATTTGATTGAAATGGTCTTCGAGATGATAAACCTAAAACTTTTGTGGAAAATATAGTTTGTAAGCACGATTTGAGTCAAAAATACAGACAGCAAACCAATTTAGAGGATGATTACACAAAAATTATAGGGAACCTTCTTGCTATGATTTAGCTATAATATCATGATTAAGATTTCAAATTTTCGTATACAGAAATGATTCGCTTTGGCTTTATTTGTAGCTAAGCATTTCTTTCCATTTTGTATTGTTAATAGCTGCATATGAGCCACAACTTTCATAAAGCGAGTCAGTGTACCTTCCTTTCTAGTTTGCTTCTTTTAGGTCTGCCAGTTTATCCTATCCTTTATGCATCTGAGGTTAGATTTCTTATAACTTTTAACTTTGTTTCTTCGAGAAAGTCTCTTGTTCAAAATGACTGAAATCCAAATCAGACAGAGTCATCTCTCCAGGTGTTGCGCCCATCCAGCTGCGACATAAAGCATTGTTTCTGGAAGGAGGCAAAAAGAACAAGTGGAGGTTTCATAAAAGTTCCATTTAAAGAGATTTTCACTAGTGGCAAGCATGTTGTTGAGGTTTCTTATCGAGAAGTTAAATGTGTTTTTAGGCAAAGAGCTCTGTGCACAGTCGACCAGGGGCTATTGAAATGTTTCAGAAAATTCTCTAGTAGAGAGGAGATTATTGTTCCTTGGCTTGCGAGCTGGTTTTTTAGTTTGTCTTCGTGCTGGCTTCTAATTTCTTTCAAAACTGCCTTCGTGTTCATTCATTGATCATGTTGGATATTCTTTCCGTAGGAGGTGTTTGCCAAAGATGTTTGATTTGATTATGTTTCAAGTGTTAACGACCGTCGATGGGTGACTTAGCACTGCAGGAATTTGCAAGGTGGAAGCATAAAGTTAAGACCAAAGCTGCTTTTAGGGAGAATGATACCACTGATTGTAGTAGTGAATGGAAGATCAAGCCATTGCCTGACATATTTTGTAACAAGATTGTCAAGGTTTCTAGCAATCCATGTTTTTGGCAAGTCAATTATAGTGAGATGCCATTATAATAAAGAAAGAACATATTTTTGGTACAGATGAAGTTTGTTCTTTGGAAGAATAGGCAATGCATAAATTTTGTGGAGTAAGTTTTTTAGAAGAGTTTCAATAAAGGTTTTTTGCACTTGATTTTTCATCTTAAAGTCAAAAGAACGACCGAGATACTTAAAGTGGATATGACACGAAAATTTTTATTGACCGCTAGATGTAATCAAGTATGCTGATCACGAGAATCGCCATAAAATTTTCGAAGAATTAAAACTTTCGTAATTACAGCTATTTCAAAGTCGATTTTTCCTTCAAATTCTGTCATAAGGGATTGAGTCGAGTTTTACAGGAAGTTACGTAAAGTGGTTGAATCTGTCACGGGATTGTTTCTTGTTTTTAAGCAATGTAAATGACGGCGGAGTTTTACCTGCGAGTCTTTGAACATGTCTCACGGCAAATATTCAAGCTCAAATACGTCAGTTTTTGAAGAAAGTGAAGGGAATAGCTTGTAGGTGCTGCTGATGGCTTTTGTTGCCTTGCATAAACGAAACAGTCGTTTCTTCTGCGGATAATTCAGACGTGGTACCAGGCGAAGCTGCATAGCTCGAAGCTTTCATTCCGGGCAGAAGACGAAGATGGGATACAGCAGTCCAAACTGTGTGATCGATGGCGAGGAAAAAAAACGTTGAATCAACGGTGAGTGAAATAAGTTGTCATTGTGTTTTTTAGTGTTGTTAATTCAGTATTGTCTGTACATAGCTGCTGTTGCGATCAGTAGAGATGGACACAAATAAACAACTCGCAAGGTTAAACTTCTTCCTTCAGTTTGAATTCACCAGCCACACTACTCCCTACATTTACATAACAAAGTGAAAAACCATTAAGCGTGCAAAATAAATTTTCGAATTCGTGACACCTTCCCCCTATTTGACCCAAATAGGCATCAAATAGTTACTATTTTTTTAACCGTTTTCTCACTCTCTCTCTCTTCGTATCGGAACCTCTCTGGGTTGGTTTGAATTCGCTAGCTTGTGGGTTCAATTCTTTTGTTTTTTAATATCACACTCTAATTTGAAGGGGTACAATAGTTCGACTGCTCTTTCGATACGTGTTTTCTTTGACTCCAATCTTGCTCCCCTCACGATTCCATCACGACCTCGGATCAGCTGCTCTGCAACTCTGATGTTCCACTCTACTCTGTTCTTTTCATCACTTTTGATAACAACAACTTGACCGATATAGATCTCGTCCGACTGTCTGTCTTTCTTCTGAAGATTATGGCTTTTCCTTCAGGGAACGAATATACTCATTAGGCTATCCTTTCAACAGATTTTCTCTACACTTCAAATACCATATATGAAAACTTTCTATAAAAACCAAATTATCCTAATTACAATTCAATATTTACAATCTAAAATATATCCTCTTTTAACTTGAATTCAATTTTACTACAAATATCTATAACGAAAGGTGAAATGGTAATTTCCAATATGCAATTTACAATTATGCCTATTTACAATTTTGCAAGATTTTTTTAAGTTTGTCAAGGAAGATGCCTGTTTACACCCAGCTGAAAGGCCATTTCAAGACCTAGCATTTCTGTCCATTTTTGGAGTTTTTTTGGTAGCCTTTGGTCAATTGATGTATTCCAAGATTCTTAAAATTTAACTTGGATTTGAAGGGATCACACACGTATTGTGGAGCCAGTCCATGAATCGATTTGAAGACCATGATATTTGACTCACTAGTGATTAGCTCCTCTATGGTCCTCCAGCAAATTTAAAAGATATTTCCCTTCAGATTCGGATTGCGAGCAAGGAATTATGGTATGGCTCACGATATTGATTTGATGACGACATTAAGATAAACATTTTATAAGGGATTTGACTGTGATTGCCGACGTGTAAAGTTTCCCCCGGAATGATTTTTGCAGTCAAATCCCGTCATTTCTCTACGAAATTTAAAATTCAAGCACAAACAATATGAAAGATTGTATCCAACCTAAAATTATGGTGATAAAAATCTGAACTTAAAAAAATCGTATAATGAAGTTTGGAGAAATTTCCAAAACAAGGCCGTAAGTCGAATTGGAGTATGGATCGATCAGACTAGATAAATATAAAAATAACTTTGAAGATAAATATAGGATGTAAGATATATAAAAAAGTAATAACGGAATGATCAAATTTTGCCGGGGCCTTTTTTGCAACAAAATCTTTGTTATGGGAGCTTAATTTGCCAAATCACTTTCCAACCTGCATCAGTTTCAGATCTGTAGCACATTAGGCTCAACATTTAGAATATCGTCGTGATAAAATTTTGTCTTGGATTAAAGCAAAACAGAGATCCTTGGCAATACAAAATACTATCAGTATTCTAAGAGGCAAAACAACCAGATCCTTGGAGACTTGGGGGCTTGAACCTCACTGGCAATTTGGCCTTTCTGACAACATTTTCATTCATAACAGCATTTTAGAAAAATTCAAAACAAAAGCGGAATGTCTCCTACGTTCATATGAAGGCAAATCAAGTTTTTTCCAGCTCACAATAAGTCTATATTCGTAATCAATACGATATGAAAGTTTATAAACACAGTCCAATTAGAGGTATAAGTAAAATATAAGTATGAGAATCGGAAAGTACAAAACAACCTCTTATACGAGAAAGTGAACCACGAAATTTTGCTGTCTTAAGCCTTTAAACTTTGTGTTAAAAAACTCAAATACAATGAAAGAATGAAAGAAATAGTACAGTTGAACTATAAAAAGACAGAGGTGGAATCTTTTGAAATCGGCAACATAAATAGTTAGAACTACTTTTATCGAACGATTAGAATGAAGGCAGTTCAAGAGCTAGACACCTTACAAATGTGGCAATAGATGTGCATCAAAAGGTTAGAAGGTAAAAATATTAATCAGCCTAGTATGAATACATCTCTTGGCAACCTAAATAATAATAAACTAAAACATGACATCAAAATAATGTGCCCCTGCAAAGTTCCTTGACAGTCGTTGCAACTGATCTAAAAAGTCTTCCTGTTGAGATCAATGGGTTGTTCTGCGGTCATTCCCTGATCGTTCCGCTAGTTCCCTCCTCATTCCGTGGTCTTTCCGCTAGTTCCGTGGTCATTTCTTAGTCGTTCCGCTAGTTCCACGCATGTTCCACTAGTTTTTCGTATTAGCAACGTTGGTCAATCAGTTTCGAAACGACTGTGGCTCTTTGATGTATTTCTACAGCTAGCTGATTGTGATCTTCGTCCACTTTTCTGGTGCTCGGCGTTGGCAGCTGTAATAATCTGCGTCCCATCAGCAAATGCGAGGGTGTGAGAGGTTCCTGAAGGTCATTTGGATAAACATAGCTTAGTGTACGCGAATTTTAGACACCATACATTTACATACCCCTATACTCTTCTCTAAGCAAAGTTTCACTCCCTTTATGGGCCTTTGGCCAGATTGAATTTCCAAGAATGCGCTTATTAGCCAAGAATGCTTTAAGAGTGGACGATTTTAAGATGGTTAAAAGTGTCTTGGAAAATGCCTTGGACGTCTTTGTGTTGTTGGTAACTATTGTATCTGTTATCCCTCTACTGGTAACAAATCTAAGAAAACAAAGTAAGAAGGTTTGGACTGTCAGGTCTGAAACGAGTTTTATTATTTTCATTATTAGTATGGTATACATTTTAGAGCTAACTGTTGGCTTCGAATCCAATCTTGAGACAAATGCTACAAGAAGACACAGCAAGTATGCTCCTCTCTTATCTGGTTTACAGCGGCAGTTCAAATGTGTCTCCTTTGTTAATCTTTCTATGAGCTCTCTTGGCATCTTCGGCAACTCCTGCAATTCATTCTTTAAAATGTGTGACTCTCTCTCCATCGATCAGCAACAAAAACAGTATCTCATTTCTAAACTTTCCAACATTGCCATCCGTACTACGTACTACATATTTTGTTGCAAAAATAAGCCATGGACAAATCCGGAATTACACCCTTTTTAACTTTAGTTGTTTTATTTTATTTTTCTCAGTTTTTCCTTTTACCTTACGATTGTTATAGTTTTTTCTTGTAAATCCAGCCTAGCCAATTGCAAATTACCTTGTAATAGTGAGATTTGTAGTTGTAGTTTAAGTTGAATTGAAAATGAAATGTTTCCATTATTATTATTATTATTTTGTTCTTAGATGTTATTGTTATTATTTCGTGCTTGGGATATTGCTGTTTTTTGCAATTTTCTCGCTCTGCGGAAAAGAATTTCAGGCCTTAGGCAGCCATACTTGGAGGTGCAAGCAACTGTTGGAGAACAATGACAGTGGCCCGTCGGGATCAATTAACATTCCATTTATTGAAACAGAATAGGAAAGCGCGTCTTTCATCAACAAATTTATTGTCAAATGATCATGTGGTAAAGAATACAAGGGGATGAAAGGATTGAAAATGCACTCACATCACGAATCACGATAACTTCATTTCAAAGAACCGTTTTTGGGGATACGTCAAATGTGTTCTTCAAAGAAGCTCAAATCTTCTACCTTCCTTTTCCAAAGATCAGTGCTCTCAGTATTTCTTTAAAATGTTTTCTTCTCTGTCGCCATGCATAAAGTTTTCTATTCATTCATGGATTGCATATCTTAGGGAGCCTAATCACCCTTTTCCTTTGGAGCCTCCTTTTTATAAAAATATCACATCAGTTATTCGGCGTATGAAATCTTCAGCCACTCTATGTCCCCGTGACAAAATGTCCATCATTGTTTTTAAACGTTGTCCACATTTGCGCTCTTTAATAACTAATATCATTCATAATATGTGGCTCTCTGGAAAAGTTCCTTTAGAGTGGAAAAAAAGCATGCACTATCCTAATTCACAAAATGGATAGCAATGACGATCAAGCAAATATCAGGCCAATCACTCTTGAGCCAGTGCCTTTGAAAATTTTCACATCATGCCTGTTTGACAGTCTATTCAATTTTCTTAAAGTAAATGGTCTCATTGAGCACGAAATTCAAAAAGGCTTCACCTCGAATATTTCAGGGACCTTAAAGCATACTGCCATGATGGCTCAGGTCGTATACAAAACTCGAGTCAAGCAACGTTCACTAGTTGTCACTTTTCTCGATCTTAAAAATGCATTTGGAGAAGTACATCATAATTTGATACCCACTGTACTGTCTTATCATCATATCCCTGACAACATACAACTTCATATCTCTAGCCTTTACACCAATTTTAAAACCTTTATCATCACAAGCCACTATAATACTCTATTTCAGTCCGTCGTGGTGTTTTTCAAGGCCACTGCCTCAGTCCCCTATTATTTAATTTATTCTTCAATACATTTGTTCAGTACATAAAAGGTGAAGAATACAAACAGTTAGGTTTCTCCCCACATTGTCAGAACGACCGTATGTTTCAACCAGTCCATTGGTTTCAATTTGCAGACGATGCTGCCGTTATCACCAGCAAGGAGAAAGAAAACCAACTTCTACTGAATTGTTTCACTTGCTGGTGCCAATGGGCTAACATGATCATACGTGTTGATAAATGCATCAATTTTGGAATAAAAAATTTTTCCTAACGTTCTCTTCAGTATCAACATAGGCTTTTCATAAACAACAAATCTATCCCACCTGTCTCGAATGGAAACTCTTTTAAGTACCTCGCTTGTCATTTTCACTTTGAAATGACAAACCAAGAACACAAACCTGACCTTGAATCATCACTGTCCAGCATGCTTAAACAAGTCGATTCCCAGCCTCTTCATGCAAAAAATAAGCTGCTTCTTTATCACAACTTTGTTCTTTCTAAAATCTCCCGGAATCTTATTGTAGCAGGTTTTTCAAAGACCTGGGTTGTTGAGAATCTTGACAACCTCGTATCCAAATACAACCGCCAGTGGCTCGACCTCCCAATAAGTGCTACCTTGTGTAGCATTATTCTTTCTAAAAACCAGTTTGGACTCAGCTAACTTCACCATCCGCGAAAATTCCTACAGTGTCAAACAGTTTTACGCAACGCACTGAAATCTTCACCAGACAATAACATGTGTTCTTTATGGAAAAATACCAACAGTAGCACAAATTTACGATATGATATATATAGGAACACGAAAGAAACATTAAAGGCTGTCCAGCAAGAGCATAAAGATCGTCTGCAAAACATTCTAACTTCTCAAGAATCTTTATTATCACATCTTTTTAACCAGGATCTTTCGCAAATAAACCAACTTTGGTCCAAGGTGCAAGGTATCATGCTTCAAAATATTTTCAATTTCACAATAAGGTACCTAAACAGTGCCCTTGCCACACAGAAAAACTTGAAAAAGTGGAACTTGAGCCAGACCTCTGACTGTTCTTTCTGTTTTCTGCGAGAAACCCTCCTTCACGTTGTTGCTGGCTGCAAAACATATCTGGAACAATGCCTATACACCTGGCGACATAACTTTATCCTAAACTCTCTAGCTACATCACTAAAAGCTGTCAATGAATGCTTTCTTTCACCATCACTCATAACTGGAGAAAACTTTTGCCCTCATCTTCTCTTCAGGACTAACAACAATTACCTCTAAATTTTAGAGCTAACTGTTGGCTTGGAATCCAATCTTGACACAAATGAAACAAGAAAACACAGCAAGTATGCTGCTCTTTTATCTGGTTTACAGCGGCAGTTCAAATGTGTCTCCTTTGTTAATCTTTCTATGAGCTCTCTTGGCATCTTCGGCAACCCCTGCAATTCATTCTTCAAAATTTGTGACTCTCTCTCCATCGATGAACAACAAAAACGGTATCTCATCTCTAAACTTTTCGATCTGTACTATGTACTACATATTTTGTTGCAAAATTTACCGTGGACAAATCCGGAATAACATCCCTTTTAATTCTGGTCGTTTAATTTTTTTTCAGTTTTCCCTTAATTTAATTTTTTTAGTATAGTATTTGGTCGTTTAATTTTTCAGTATAGTATTTTCTTGTAGAACCAGGCTAGCCAATTGCAAATTACCTTGTAATAGTGAGATTTGTAATTGTAGTTTTCAGTTGAATTGAAAATGAAATGTTTCCATTATTATTATCTGTTTGCCGCCCATTTTCTTTGAAAGGTTCATAATTTGTCCTTGAGGTTTGGTGACAGCAAGTCTCCTAAAAACGCGAGGACTTTCCTGAGGATTCTGGTAGAATTCAAGATGACTGTTCTCTGCAGTTCAAAATTTTGGTCTCAATTCCGATTTCTTTTAGCCTTTTCTTTTGGTCTTTAGGGGCCGTTCCAAGGGCATCAATATATAGGTATGATCCGCATACTCATGTTCCACAATGTTTTGAGTTCCCTGGCCAGATCTTGATATTTCTCTAACTTTTCGAACTCTTTTGTTTAAACTCGACTGTCGTATGGAATTGCGACCTCCACTATCAGGCATTCATTTTTCACTTTATCCTTAACGACTAAGTCTGGGCGCCTTGCTTGTATGACGTGATCTATTGGTATGTTCAAGTCCCAAAGAATTGTACAGACATCGTTTCACATCGTTGTCTCTGGACTGTATTTTTACGTTTTGCGTTACGTTTTTACGTTCATACGATTTGCTTTTTAGATCAAGGCCATATTTCAGGCAAGCTTCCCAGTGAATCTTTTTCCCGGCCAAATGATGATGTCTTTTAAACTGTTTTTGCACCATCTTGCTGCATTCACTTAAGCGATGATTGACTGTTTCATCAGCTTGTTTACACATTCGGTATAGGCTATCCTCCTGCGTTTGTTCGATTTTTGTTTGATCTGATTTGTTCTAATTTCTTGTTCCTGCGAAGCTAGGATGAGCGTTTCTGTTTCTCTTTTAATTCCTCCCTTACTAAGCCATCCTCACCAATAATTGCTAGCAACTGCTTGTGTTTGTCTTAAAAACTGTCCATGTTACGCATTGTCGGTCCAGTCTTGCTTACGTTCCTTTGTTCTTCTTCTTTTGAATCCCTTTGCTGTTTCTGATATATCTTCTGGTTTCCTTGCGGCAATGACCAGCTTTTCTTCACTCTCCTGTATGTATTACTGTAGTGCAAGTATCGCTGTTCTCGTGCTGTCTTTAATAAGACCTTATCCGCCTTCTTTCCTTGATTGGTATATTCTATCTACATTGCTCTATGGGTGCAAAGCTTTGTGCATCGTCATCAACTTTCTTGTTCTTCGACCCAAAGCTAAAAGCTCATCTTTGTTCCAGTCTAGAAAGGGAGCTCAATATCGGATGACAGCTACTGCCCAAGTATTGATAGCTTTAATTAAGTTATGGCCATTATGGCCATTCAGCTTTGTCTCTAAGACATTCCTTATTTATCTTTTGTATTCTTTCTTCATCTTTTCTTTCATTTCTGATCTTTTCAAGTAATCTGCCTCAAGCACTCCGAGATATTTGTAGCTTTCATCTTCCTTTACACTACTAAACTTTCTCTCGTCAGGTAATTTTACACCTTCTGCCTCGACAGTTTCCCCCCTTTTCATTATCAATATAGCACATTTATCTAAACCAAATTCCATCCCAATATGTTCACTGAATATTCTTACTGTTTGAATCAAAGACTCTAGATCTTTTTCATTCTTTGCATAGACTTTGAGATCATTCATAAACAGTAGGTGGTTGATCTTTTCATTGTTTGAGATAAAATTATATCCTGCTTTTACCTTCCGCAGCACACCATTCAGGAGTATACGAACAATTACAAATAGTAGCGGTGATAAGGCATCCCCATGGAATATTCCTTGTTTTATGTTTACTTCTCCAAGTTCTTGCTTTCCGCAAGTGAACTCTACTTTCCACTTCTTCGTGCTTTCTTTCAATAGGTTTTGAACCTTCCCGTTATTTCCTAGATTTACTAGACATCCAATTATCCAGCTATGCGGGAGCATGTCGTATGCTTTCCGACAATCTATCCATTCCATGGCTAGAATCCTTTTTTCTTGATTTGACTTCCTTCATTATCATTTTGTCTATAAAGCGCAGGTCTGCAGTTCCTTTAGAGTTACGTCTGCAACCTTTTTGCTCCTTGGGTAGAAAATTGTGTCCTTCAAGAAAGCTACACACTTCATTTGCAACAACTCCAGTTAAAAGCTTCCAGACAAGTGGAAGGCATGTAATATGTCGATAGTTACTGGCGACTGTACCTTCGCTACAATCTTTTTTGATAAGTACAGCCCTTCCTTTTGTATAAGATGCAGGAGTTTTAACTGTTTCTAAGCAGAGGTTAAGATGTTCTGCTAGTTTTGAATGGGAATTCTTTAGCCGATATCCCTGTACGCCATCAGGTCCAGGAGCCTTCCAATGGGGGAACTTTTTAAAAATTGCTTTGACTCTCTTGTCTGTGATTGTTATGTTACTCTGCTGGCATATACCTCTAACTTCACAGCGAAAGTTTTCTAACCATTCTGCTTTTTTATTGTGATCAACTTATTTCCCAAAAATGTCTTTCGTTGTTGGTATCTCTTTATCTTTCCCGTTTTCGCTCCTATTCTTTGCTTAATTTCCTCTCTCACAGTTTTGTTTCATTTTGTATTTTCTCTGAAGGGAATCTTGATGTTTTTTTTTATATTTGCTTTTGCTGAATCAAGTTGTTAATCCTGCTAAGATCTTTGTTCAGTTGTCTTACTTGGTCCTCTGATCTTCTCCTCCACCATGGCACTTTCTTTTCTTTTTGTTTTCTACGCATCCCCACCATTTGAGTTACCAAAGCTGCTCCTCCGTACATCAGATGCATTCACATGAGTTATATCTTTTACCTGCACCTTTCCCAACACCGTATTAACCTTATTAACCACTTTTTTTAACTTCTTACTGTCAACTCCCTTCAACGGTGGTAATCTTCCTCTCTGTTGTCTGCCAAAATCTTTTATCTTCTCCATAAGCAGCTTCTCTTCCTCAGTTACGCTTGTCTCATCATACACTATATGTGGAGGTATCTCATTTATATACTCATTGGTAAGCTGTTCTCCTATGCATTCATCTCCTTGTCTATTGGTTACATTGTTATTTGGTGTTGCATTCGCTTGTTGATTTTTTTGTCATCTTCCATTGTTCCCCTATGCCACCTTCTATAATATTTCCTACTTGACCATATTCAGCATCATCAATTGACCTTCTTATGGCTTCAAGCTCTAATTCAGGTAGCCATTTCTTCTATATTATTTGAGTCTTTTGATCGATAAGTCTCTGCTATGTTATTACAAACATGCCCTATTCAAACCATAAGTTATGCATTCTCTTTCGATAACCAATTTTCTTTGGGTTGCTTCTGTGAAAGCACTCTATTACAACTCTATTTTCTTCGTGAGACCATCGGGTCCTCCTAGCAGTAGCTGGATGACGACCGGGAACATGCTGCTGGACCATGGTACACCTACCGGCTGAGAGACCTTAACTGTTCCAATCTCATTCACGCCATTATCTTCATTATTTGAATTAGTGGATAGTGGACTTTAGGTTACACAACCACCAGTGTTTTTATCAAGACATCATCTCTAGGAGGGTTGCCAACCAAAGCTGAAGGGTCCCTCCCACCCATAAGACAGACTAGCCCCCGCCGGACGCCAACCTGCTACTTCATGGCCTCGAAGAGAGCTGACAGGTACTACACCTTGCTCAAGGGTGACCTGGAGGTAGTTGCAGCAAAGGGTAACCTCATTCTTCCACATCGAAACTCTACAACCGGATGCAGTTTTATGTCTTACCCAGGACCAATTATTATTAGTATTATAATCATTATTATTATAATTATTATTATTATTATTATGAATTTTATTATTATTATTATTATTATTATTACCTCGGCCGCTTCTTTGACTTCGAAATGACCAATGGCAGTCATAAAGAAAAACTGCTATCAATGTTTCCCAGCCTTCTGAAAGAAATTGATTAATTGCCTCTGCATCCCAAAAATAAACTTCTATTGTACCACAGATATGTATTGTCCAAAGTTTCTTGGCACTTCACTGTTGCAGACCTATCGAAGACCTGAGTCATTGAGAACCTCAATAATCTTGTCTCTAAATACATTCGCCAGTGGCTTGATCTTCCCATAAGTGCTACTTTAACTAGTATAGTTCTTTCTAAAAATCAATTTGGTCTCGATCTTCAGCTACCTTCTGTCAAATTCACTCAATGCCAAACTGTTTCAGGCAATGCCCTCCGAACTTCTCCTAACACAAACATTCAAGCTTTATGGAAAAACACCAGTAGTGGGATGAATCTGCAATACGACATTTACCATTACACCAAAGATGTACTGAAAACAGTAAAATCAGACAGTAGAGAGCGCTTGGCACACCAATTACTATCCCAGGGTGCTATTATTTCATTTCTGTTGGACCACTCTCTTAAAAAGCTCAATGGTCTTTGGTCTATTGTGCAGAGCAACCTACCCACGAACATCTTCAACTTCACCATCAAGTACCTGAACAATACTCTCCCTACGCGCAAAAATCTAAGCCTTTGGAACCTAAGCCAATTATCTGATTGCGAATTCTGCCTTCTTCCCGAAACTTTACTCCATGTCGTTGCAGGCTGCAAAGTTTATCTCGAACAAGGTCGTTATACCTGGCGTCATAATTCTGCTCTAAATTTTCTTGCAACCTCCTTGAAAGCAATAGAGGGATCCTCTCTTTTTGCCGATATACCTGGCTTCTCCTTACCATCCATCATAACTGGAGACAATCTGCGCCCAGATCTACTTCTGCGTACAAAGGAAAACATTCTTTATGTTTTGGAACTAACGATAGGATTTGAAACTAACCTTAACTGCAATGCAGAAAGGAAACGTTCAAAATATGCTCGCCTTGTCTCAGATCTAAGACCAAGGCTCAAATCTGTCATATTTGTAAATCTCTCCATCAGCTCTCTTGGCATCTTTGGCGACTCATGCAGCTCATTCCTTGAAATGTGTGACTCTCTTTCCATCGATGATCAACACAAACGATATCTCATTTCTAAGCTTTCTTTGATATCCATTCGTACCACCTATTACATTTTTTGCTGTAGGAACAAAACATGGACTAACCCAGAGCTACTCCCCTTTTAACGTTTTTTTTTCTTTTCTCTTTACTACGATTTGTAATAGTCTTATTTTGTAGAAACAGGCTAGCCAGTTACAAATTACCTTGTAATAGTGAGATTTGTAATTGTAGTTTTAACTGGAATTCAAAATGAAAAGTTTCCACTATTATTATTATTATGGTTGTTGAGCAGTGGCGTTCAGAGCTCCCGTATACGGCTCTCGTTTAAAAGCAAGTATCATTATAGCCTGGTTACTTTGTACTCGTATATTACAGTAAAATCGACTATTGAAACGACAAGGAGTTTTTTAGAAATGATTCGTTCGCATTGGCTTTAGATTGTTGCACCATTTGTGGTTTGTTCTTTCTGTGGTCAAGATTTCAAAACGTTAGGCCGCCATTCTTGGAGATGTAAACGAAAGCTTGACGTCAACCACCAAAATGGCCCCAACGGCTCCCGTTTATCAACATTCCTCTAATTTCCGTAGAAACAAATGAGGACATTGTTACGCTAAACAATTGGATCAAATGCTGTTGTGGAAAAATTTGTAAAGGAACAAAAGGTTTAAAACGACCCTGATACCTCTGAAGACCTAGTTTGTGAAGTTCAAAGCAACAAAGTCACTAGCAGCATTGGGTTTCTAGATGACGTCAATTTGGATGTATTTTTGAAATTAACCCAGTGTTCGTCTCCCAAATTCGAAAAACGAATGGTCCATTGCAAACGAATATTTCAAATCTACTTTAGCAAATCTCCCTTTGAAACCGTGCACCATCAACAAAGCAATAACCTCAATGAATAACTCAATTTATAACTATTTTAAAGAGACTTGTGGTACCATCGACAATATTTCCAACGATCTGGTCGCGAAATATCAAGATCGAAAAGCCAAGGAATTAAAAAAGGACTTAAAATTGCTGAAGATGAACAATGTTACTCTTTTAGAAATTAAATACGTCTCTCATCTACTGCGTCACAAAATCAACAGCAGTGAAGTATGATTTCTAACACTACTCATATTGCTGATCATGATAAGTTGATCTCAAAAAATTTCTGGGGTTACGTTAAAAACATCTTCAAGAACATTTCATCAACCTCCCAACATTTCTTAATGATATATGCACTCAGTATTTTCTAAAAGCTCTTTCCTCTCTCTCACCTACGCAATGTTTTTCAATACCATCTTGGATACCTACTTTTCAAGAGCCGGATCACCCTTTTCCGTCGGAGCCTCCTTCATATCAGCAAATTACAACAATAATTTGCCGAATGAAGTCTTCTGCTTCTCCTTGCCCCTTTGAAAAGATCTCTATCATTGACTTCAAACATTGTCCTTATCTACGTAGTAAACTTACTGAAATTTTCCGTGTTATGTGGCTTTCCGGAGATATTCCAACTGAATGGAAAAAGGCATGCACTATCTTAATCTACAAAAAGGATAGCACCGAAGATCCATCTAATATCAGGCCCATAACGCTTGAGTCAGTACCACTAAAAATATTTACTTCTTGCTTGCGTGACTTCATGTTTGATTTTCTTAAAATAAATGGTTATATTGAACATCAAATTCAAAAGGCTTCACGTCTAACATATCTGGCACTCTTGAACATACTTCAATGATGGCTCACATTATCGACAAAGCACGTACAAAACAGTGCTCGCTGGTTGTCACTCTTCTTGATCTCAAAAATGCCTTTAGGGAAGTACATCATAATTTGATACCCACTATACTGTCTTATCATCATATCCCTGACATCATACAGCTTCTTATCTCTAGCCTTTACACCGATTTTAAAACCTCTATCATCACAAGCCACTATAATACTCCTGCTTTTCCAGTTCGTTGTGGTGTGCTTCAAGGCGACTGCCTCAGTCTGCTACTATTTAATCTATGTTTTGATACTTTTATACAGTACATAAAAGCTGAAAATACAAACAGTTAGGTTCGTATGTTTCAACCAGTCCATTGGTTTCAATTCGCATACGATGCTGCCGTTATCACCAGCAATGAGAAAGATTACCAACTTCTACTGAATTGTTTCACTCGCTGGTGTCAATGGTCTAACATGATCATATGTGTCGATAAATGCATCACTTTTGGAATAAAGAAATTTTCCACACGTTCTCTTCAGTATCAACCTAAGCTTTTTATAAACAACAAATCTATCCCATCTGTCTCGAATGGAAACTCTTTCAAGTACCTCGGTCATCATTTTGACTCTGAGATGACAAACCAAGAACATAAATCTGACCTTTTATCATCACTGTCCAACATGATAAAAAAAATCAATTCGCAGCCTCTGCATGCAAAAAATTAACTGCGTCTTTATCACAACTTTGTTCTTTCTAAAATCTGCTAGAACCTTACTGTAGCGGATCTTTCAAAGACGGGGCTTGTCGAGAATCTTGACAACCTCGTATCCAAATACATCTGCCAGTGGCTCGACCTCCCAACAAGTGCTACCTTGAGTAGCGTTATTCTTTTTAAAAACCAGTTTGGACTTAGCCTAACTTCACCATCCACCAAATTCCTGCAGTGTCAATTAGTTTTACGCAACGCATTGAAATCTTCACCAAACGGTAACATTCGCTCTTTATATAAAAATACCAGCAGTAGCACAAATATACAGTATGATATATATAGGAACACCAAAGAAGCATTAAAGGCTGTCCAGCATGAGCATAAAGATCGTCTGCAAAACATCCTAACCTCCCAGGGATCTTTATTATCACATCTCTTTAATCAGAATCTTCCACAAACAAACAAACTTTGGTCCAAGGTGTAAAGTAGCATGCCTCAGAATATTTTCAATTTCACCATTAGGTACCTCAACAATACCCTTGCCACACAGAAAAACCTGAAAAAATGGAACTTGAGCCAGACCTTTGACTGTTCTTTCTGTTTTCTGCCAGAAACCCTCCTTCATGTTGTTGCTGGCTGCAAAACATATCTGGTACAAGGCCGATACACCTGGCGACATAACTCTATCCTAAATTTTCTAGCAACGTCACAAAAGGCTGTCAATGAATCTACCATCTACGTTGATATACCTGGCTTTCTTTCACCATCAATCATAACTGGAGAAAACCTTCACCCTGATCTTCTCTTGAGGACTAACAACAATTACCTCTACATTTTAGAGCTAACTGTTGGCTTCGAATCCAATCTAAACACAAATGCTAGAAGAAAACACAGCAAGTATGCTGCTCTTTTATCTGGTTTACAGCGGCAGTTCAAATGTGTCTCCTTTGTTAATCTTTCTATGAGCTCTCTTGGCATCTTCGGCAACTCCTGCAATTCATTCTTCAAAATGTGTGACTCTCTCTCCATCGATCAGCAACAAAAACGGTATCTCATTTCTAAACTTTCCAACATTTCCATCCGTACTACGTACTACATATTTTGTTGCTAAAATAAGCCATGGACAAATCCGGAAGTACATCCTTTTTAGTTTTGGTTGTTTTTTTTTCTCAGTTTTTCCTTCTACCTTACGATTGTTGTAGTTTTTTCTTGTAAAACCAGGCTAGCCAATTGCAAATTACCTTGTAATAGTGAGATTCGTAATTGTAGTTTAAGTTGAATTGAAAATGAAATGTTCTCATTTTTGGTCGTTGAGCGGTTGCGTGTGGACGCTGCTGTACATGGCTCCGGTTTAACTTATATATATCACTTATACAATAACTTATTTATATCAGGTACTTTAGAACACACTGCACTTATGGGTGATATGATAAATAGAGCTCCCATGAAACAGCGCTCTTTGGTTGTTATCCTGCTTGATCTAAAAAATGCTTTCGGCAAAGTCCACCTATTCCCACTATTCTCTCGTACCATCATATACCATCTCATATTCAGGCTTTGATCTCCAGCTTATATTCGGGCTTCAAGACCTCTATCCTCACAGATACATTCCAAACCCCTGCCTTTCCCGTCTGTCGTGGTGTTCTTCAAGGTGACTGCCTCAGCCCTCTTATCTTCAATCTTTGCTTCAATACGTATATACACGTAAGTCATATAAAAACACGTAAGTCAGTAAAGGCTTTTGCCTTAGAACACAGCTCTTTAATGGCACTTATTATAAACAAAGCTCGAATCCAACAACGTACAATTGTTATAAATTTGCTGGATCTCAAAAATTCTTTTGGAGAGATTCATCACAACCTAATTCCTGAAATTCTAGACTATCATCGTATTCCACCTGTCATATCAACATCAGTTTCCAATCTCAATGTATACTTTAAAACCTCCATGATCACACATGAATGCCATACTCCATTAATACCTATTCGCTGTGCACTTCTTCAAGGTGACTGCTCAAGCTCTCTTCTTTTCATCCTTTGCTTTAACACCTTTATCCAGTATGTCAAGGCCAAGAAATTTAGACAGCTTGGTTTTTCTCTACATGAAAGTTGATTGCTTGGTTTTTGATTGGTGTGCACAGTATTGGACTCCCCTTCGACCACTATCGACCATTGTCAATTTCCAAGTAAATTAGTAAAATTAACTCATTGCTCTCGCTTCTGAGAATTACTTTATAATGAAGACACTTTTTCCCTCAAACTTGACAGGGAAATGATTAGAAACTTCCATGTCAAACATATTTGCAGCCTGACAATCGACACTGATATACAGCTGTCGAACTGAATTATCGATCAAATTGGTCGATGTTGATTGAATTGATTGATGTCAATTGATTCAACCGCTTTCGTTTTAGTGGAAACTGGGCTTAATCACTCAGAATGTATCAGTGGTTACTCCCTGTGTTCAAGATTAGAAAATAAACGTTTGGTTCTTGCGGGCCTGGAGCTGCTGAAGAATAGGCCTTTGCTGTTTGTAATAACACAGAAGTTTTAGTGTCAATATGCATTGTCATGGTTGAGTTAGTAGTTGTTAGCTGAGATACATTTTAACACGAATTGCCACTATCAAAGGATGTTGAAAGATGCTGATTCCCCTGCAACTGTACAGGATTAGTTGGCGCTGTGAATTGGCTCCGCGAAACTCCAGGTGTGGAATGCTGTATTTGACAAGTGCTGGTATGATGGCTTTGTTTTCAAATAAAACAGTTTATGATGCTTGTGCAATCTCTGGAAATATATCCCTTTTTCAAGCAAACATAACAAGTTCCATACTTTTGAAGAAGTACTTTTCTTTGCCCTCTATCGGTTTACCACTTTTGGAAGGCTTATGAGGCATTTTTCCTATATTGGCTTGAATCTTGGAAAATTGCGTTTTTGTCATTAATTATGCTCCAAACGTTTACAAGAGGCCAGTTGGGTCTTCGATGGAATCAGATTTCAGTTCTCTATCAGCAGAAACGTTTTTGTTTCAAATTAGCCCTTTTGGGAGGTTGATGAGGCTATTATCCTTTATGGGCATAAATTGTTTAAATTACGTTTTTGGCTTTAAGTTAATTCAGCTCCAAAAGAGTCTTGGTTGTTAGCAGACTTAAGTTCTCTTTCTGCAGAAACTTTTCGTTTCAAAATACCCTTTTTGGGGAGCTTCTGAAGCGAATATCCTATATGGGCATTAATTATATAAATGACGTTTTTGTTTTTATTTTGTCTCCAAAGGATCGCAAAAGGCTAGTTGAGCCTTCGTTTGAAGTAGATTTGAATTCCCTTTCTGGAAAAAATTTTTCTTTCTAATTATCCCTTTAGGTGGCTTATGTGGTAATATACCTAAAATTGGTATAAATTATATAAATTACATTTTCGGTATTTATTCAGATCTGAAAGATTGCAAGAGGCTGCTTTGGTTCTCTTTGAAAGTAAATTTTGATGGTCTATATATGGAAATTTTTGTCTCAAATATGCAGTTTTGAAAGGCGATAAACCAATTTTCTTATATGGAAATAAATCTGGCATTTTACATTTTTGCTTCAATTTAAGCTCGGAACGATTGCTGTGTCTTTGTTGGCAGCAGATTTTAATTTTGTATGTGTAAAAAAATTTTTATTTTATAATTTGCACTTTTTTGAGGCTTATGAGGCATTTTCCTTCTATGGGCATAAATCGGAAAATAAAATGCCATCAATTCAGGGACAAAATATTCGAGGAGGCTTGATGGGAGCTTGTTTGATATAGATTTTGATCATCTCTTTGAGGAAAACCGCTGATGTCTTAAATGCGCTTTTTTGAGGCAATTGCCCAACTTCCTTTTGAGGGGCAATATGCCAGTTTCCTTATATGGACATGAATCATGTAAATTCAGGTCCAAAAGATTGCAAAAGGCTGCTTGGTTGCTCTTTTAAAGTAGCTCTTTATTGTTTATGTGTGGAAATTTTTCAGTCTCATATAAGCAGCTTTGAGGGACAATAACCCAATCTTCTAATATAAGTATAAGTCTGGTTTTCTATATCTTGCCAAATTCAGCTCTAAATTGTTCCAAAGGCAGTCAGGATCATTATTGGATAAAGATTTTTATTCTTGCATGTGTCATTTTTTGGCTTCAATTCAACCCTTTTTGGGGGTTATGAGGCAATTCCCTTCTTCTGGCATAAATCACGTAAATAACGTTTTTTGCCAATAATTCAGCTTCAAAAGATTGAAAGAGGCTGGTTGGGTGCTGGTTGGAAGCAGATTTTATTGTCTATCTGTTGAAAAGTTTTTGTCTCAAATAAGCACTTTTAAGGGGAAATAACCCAATTTCCATTTATGGTTAATAATCCGGTATTTGTTGTTTTTGCCATTTATATGCTATAAAGATCGCAAGAGGCTGAATTGGTTCTTTTGGAAACAGATTCAAATTCTCTTAGTTTGGAATTTCTTTTCAAATTAGCAATTTTGGAAGGCTTATGGGGATACAAGCATAGATCTTTATGTTACGTTTTTGCAGTTAGTTTATTACAAAAGATGGCAAGAGAATGATTGGAAGCTCATAAGAAGTAGATTTTGATTGTCTATGTGTGGAAATTGTTTTTATTTCTCAAATACGCAGTTTTTAAGGGTAACAACCCATTTTCCTTAATTGGGCATAAATCTAATGTTTTGCATTTTTGCTGTTAATTCAGCTCCAGAAGATTGCAAAAGGCTTATTGGGTGATCATTGAAAGCAGATTTTGATTTTCTATGTGTTAAAGATTTATGTCTCGAACAAATTCTTTTGAGAGGCAATAACCCTATTTCCTTATATGGGCATATATCTGGTGTTTTACGTTTTGCTTTTCATTCAGCTACAAAAGATTGCAAGAGGCTGATTGGGTCTTCGTTGAAAGCAAATTTTGACTTTAAATCATCAGAAATCTTTTTGTTTCAAATTAGCACTTTTGGGGGCTCATGAGGCCATTTTCCTATATGGGCATAAGTTGTGTAAGTTATGTTTTTGACGTTATTTCAGCTCCAAAGGATTGAAAGAGGCCAATTGGGTCTTCGTTGGAAGCAGATTTCAGCTCTCTGTCTGCAGAAACTGTTTTGTTTCAAAACAGACGTTTTCGGGTGCTTATGAGGTAATTTTCTTATATGAGCATAATTTACGTTTAAATTACGTTTTTGCCGTTGATTCAGCTTCAAAAGATTGCAAGAAGCTATTGTTACTGTTGTTGGCCTGGTCTCAGTGTTACAGTCAGTATGGGTAATCATATGAAAGTCAAGCATCCATAAAGATGATATTGGGAAGATCGCAGGGTTCTAATGTAGTCAGATTCACGGTTTCCTGATGGTTTTTTAATGTTCGCACAGGCATCATTCCACCAATAAAATTGTGCCCTTGTGCGGCTTTGGTGACCTGTATGTATTGTGCCCTTGTGCGGTATGTATTGTAAACTTCATTTTACTGCCAACCGCACCAAAGGAGCAAAGTGCAAGCCCCTGTTGTGTTTTTCGCCTCAACAGATTTATAAGAACAGAAATAAAACTGTTTTCCAATATTAAACTTTCAACATCCAAACCGTACAAAAACAACTCAAAGAACAATGCTTTTGAAAAAGCATGTTACGTTATACAAATGGTGTTCACTCACGCATTTTGATTAAATAAAGCGTCTTTTCTAAAACTACAACACCTCCCCGCTAGCCTACAACTTCCATCTTAGGCGATCAAGTTTATTGTTTCTTTAAACGTCTTGATCTTCTTGGCTTATCCCGGCTGTACTCGGTACCGGTTGGCATTCGGGGGTTAGGTCTCTTGGGTTTAACATATGGTCCTGGATCTGCAATTCTCAATTTTTGACCTTTTTCAACGTTCGTTTCTTTGTGTGTTGCCATCTCTGATATACCGGCTGGAACTGCAATGCTTGGTGTATCCCCCGGCTCAGCATCCTCTACTGAGAAGTATCTCGGGCGTAACTGCTCTACATGTCTGCGCCAAATGGGTCCCTTTGGATAAACCCTGACAGACACAGTCCGTGCTCCTTGTACCTTAGTAATTACTGCTGGTACCCATCGTGGATCTTTATCTCGTCGAGGTCCACAATAGAGAGCATAGCAAGGTGTACCCACTTTGTATTGTGGATTAAACCTCCCAGCTAGCTTTTGCGCAGCCTTCACTGTTTGCTTATTCTGACGTCCTTGTGCTTGATGCGCAGGAGAAGGAATCAGGATATCTATCGGTGACCTGATTTGGCGTCCATTGAGCAGCTCACTGGGAGAGTAACCACAAGCTAGTGGTGTTCTCCGATACTGCATCAAGAACTGCTGAAGGGCTGCTTTCAAAGGTAATGTTGACTTCAGCATCGACTTCTTGAAAGTCTGTACCAGTCTCTCAGCTGCACCATTAGTTGCTGGGTGATACGGAGGTCCTGTTAAATTAACGATCCCTCTTGCCTTGGACCATTCCTGGAATTCTTCTGAGGTAAAACTTGAAGCATTGTCCGAGACGAGCGTATGTGGATAACCAAAGTGTGCAAAGTCCTGTTCCAGCACATCAATGGTTGCTCTGGAACTTGTAGTGCTGGTCTGGTGGATACACGGTTAATTGGAGTACGCGTCTGTCAGTAACAGCCAATTTGATCCCAAGAAGTTAAAAGCATGGTCTACGTGCAGGCGGCTCCATGGTTTTTCTGGGAACATCCAAGGATGAACGGGTGGTTTGGACGGGAGATTTTGGTGCTCAGCACATGCTTGACAAGCTCGACTAACATCAGCAATACTCGCATCAATCCCAGGCCAATAGACAGCAGTCCTGGCAAGCTGTTTCATGCGTTGCATGCCAAAATGTCCTAGATGAAGAATCTCCAGCACTTGTGCTTGTAGACTGACTGGAATCACCACACGTGCTCCGTAGAACAAGCATCCATCAGTTACCGACAGTGACTCGCGGATTTTCTTAAAAGCATCCACTGTATAGCGCGTGCTTTCACTGTCAGTGCTATCTTCGTGTATCTTGCTGAAAGGCCAACCCTCTCTTGTATACCGCACTACAGTTGCAAGTACTCGGTCTTTATCTGTCTCTTTTGAGAGTACACCTGGATCTGCTGCGTTGAGCTGTTTGCTGACAGTTTTGATGGTACAAATGCAATCTGCATCAGCATCACTTTCTCTTCCGTCAAACTGCGCATCTGGTCCCACCGGAAGACTACTAAGTGCATCAGCATTTCCGTGGTCCGAAGTCTTCCTATACTCGATGGTATATTCGTATTGACTCAACATCAGTGCCCATCTTGCTAGACGGTTGGCGGCTAGTGATGGCGTTGCCTTTGTAGGACCAAATAATGTAAGCAATGGCTTGTGGTCCGTTATTAAAATGAATTTCCTTCCATAAAGGAAATGATGGAACTTGCTGAGAGCAAATATAATTGCTAAAGCCTCTTTCTGTATCTGGCTATAGTTTCGTTGCGTCTCAGTTAGTGTTTTTGATGCATTTGCTATTGGGCGCTCTCTGCCATCTTTGTAACGGTGGAAAAGTACAGCGCCAATACCAACACTTGATGCATCACATGCTATTCCAATGGGGAGCGATGGGTCAAAATGCGCAAGAACTGTATCATTGCACAACATGGTCTTGACTTTATCGAATGCTGTCTGTTCCTTGGCACCCCATTCCCATGGTATATCTTTCTTTGTCAGCCTGTAAAGCGGCTCTATAAGTGTTGACAAGTTAGACAGGAACTTGTTGTAGAACTGTACTGATCCTGGAAATGATCGCAGACCAGAAACATCATTGGGTGCAGGCATCTTCAAAACAGCATCAACTTTAGGACTTTTTGCTATCCCTTTGCTGGACAACAGATGTCCCAGGTACTCGATGTATGGTTGAGCGAATGAGCACTTTTGGAAACGACAACGTAGTCCCTTTTCACTCAGTCGCTCAAACAAACTTTTTAAATTTGTGAGGTGCTCTTCTGCAGTTGATCCGCTGACCAGTATGTCATCCAGATAAACTGCAACACCTGGTAGGTCACTTGTTAGTTGATCCATTATTTCTTGGAAATATCCAGGTGCTGAGCTTATTCCAAATAGAAGGCGCATCTGAAGCAGAACACCTTGATGTGTACTCAACGCAAGCCTTTTTTGCGATTCTGGGCCTAGTGCAATCTGGTTATATGCGTCAGCTAGATCAATCTTTGTAAACCCATATCCTCCTGACAACTTTTGCATCAGGTGTTCCGGTGTAGGAATTGGATGTCGGTGCGTTTCTAATTGTGCATTGACAGCAACAGAGTAATCTCCACAAACTCGTAGTTTAGATTTTGTCTGTCCCGGAAGCAACGGTTTACGGATGGGTACCACTGGTGTACCATACTCATTGAACTGGATTCTTTGCCAAACACCACGCCTGATTCCCGCCTCGTATGCTTGAGCTAAATCTTCCTGAAGCGCAAAAGGAACTGCTCTTGCTTTGCAAAAATTTAGTTTCGCATCAGGTTTGAATTTCACTTCCAGTTCAAAATCTTTCAGTCTCCCAAGCTCCGGCTTGAATAGATCTGGAAATTCTTCACATAGCTTGCGACATTCAGCTTGTAATTTCCGGTCAGGTTTCAAATCTTCAAATACAGCATGACACTGTGCATGCGCACCACTGTTCTGTTCGATGAGTGTGTCAACTGATATTCCGAGCTGCGCAATGGCACTCCGTCCAAGCAGGTTAAGGTCAGGTAATTCGGTTACATTAAATCCCAGTGACTGTTGATTGTAATTTTCGGTTTCCGCTTGTAACATAACAGTACCAAGAACTGGTAGCTTGTGTTGACTTGCTGACTCAAACTGCTGACTTGGTGCTTCTAGGATGGGTTCACCTAGCTCCTTCCATGCAGTTTTGCCAAGAAAATTATCTCCAGCACCGGTATCAACTTCAAAATTAACCATATGCTGACCTTCTAGCTTGATTGGTAACTGAAGCTCAGGAACTTTAACTTTGTTGACCGTGTTTGTTTGCGAGATCGAAAAAATCTTTCTTAATTTATTTCTTTCTCCCGTAAGCTTGGCACTTTCTTTCTTTTTCTTCAAACAGGCAGCCTCTATATGCCCAATCTTATTACAATAATGACATGTAGTGTTCTTAAATCTACAATCTTTTGGGTTATGACCAACCCTGCCACACCTAATACATTCAATAAAAGAAGATTTAGGTTCAGACGAGGAATACTTCCCTCTCTTTTTCGGTTGAATCTTGTTGACTTCTTGTCTTGAAATTTGCCCGTGAACCGTTTCCTTGGCAACTTTAGCTGCGTCTTCAATTTCAATTGCCATTTCTATAGCTCTAGCAAAAGTAAGATCGTCATCTTTAACTTTAAAAAGGGCCTTTAAAACCGCTTCATTGTTGATAGAGCAAATAAACCTGGTTCTCATTGCCTCGTCCAAAGAATCCGTGATTGATGTAAAGTCACAGGTAACAGCATCTTGGCGAATCCTAGCGACTAATTCATTTACTGTCTCTCCTGGCTTTCTATCCATTTTACTCCAAAATTTGAATCGCTCGTGAACAATGAAACGCTTCGGATGAAATTGATCCATCATAAACTCTGCTATATTCTCCACACTAAGCTCGTTAACATCTTTTGGTGGCGTTTGTTGACTGGCAAGATTCGAGAGCAATTTGTATGTAACTGGAGTCTGATTCGTTAGGAAAACATAAGCCTTCTTCTCCTCTGGTATCGAGTTTGCCTCGGTGAAAGTATTAAAACGCGCCCAGTAATCCGTCCACAATTCGGTCGCTGAATCGAAAGCAGAAAAACTTTGTATACCACGTGTAAACGTTTTAATCGGTTCCTTTTCCTCAGATTTCCTGGCCATAGCTAAAATAGCCTGAAGTTGTTCCTGGTGACGTAGATCCTGTCTCTCCATCATTATTCTTTGTTGTTCAATTTGCTGTTGAAGGAGCAGAACTAAATCTTGCGCCGCCATCTCAAACGCTCGTTGAACCCTCACTGCAAAACAACCTTGTAAAAGGAGTCGTACTATGCGATAATCGTTGCCAAATCCTAGGACTGATTAGTAAATCGTTTTCCACAATTCTCGTCGCCAAAAATCTGTTGTGTTTTTCGCCTCAACAGATTTATAAGAACAGAAAT